TATTATGTGTAATATAATAATAATATAAAACTTTTTCCGCAATATAATAGATCTATACGTAACACAAATGAAGTACCAAATTACGCTCTTTACACAGATTTTCATGGTACAGCTTTGTGTAAAATCTGGCGAGAACACCAGTGCCGCGCAAATAAACAAACCAAAAAAGCTGATCACTTGATGTGTGATCAACACAAATTTTACTTAAAATAAAATCTACAAATAAAATCTACAAATAAAATCTATGTAGCATTTTCAAAATTCGACAGGGTTGTTACGCTCTCTTGGATGCTCTCATTTATTCAAAAATTTTCTGGTGGAACGCACTTATGTATACACAGTGTTACTCAAAGTTACTAGGAGTAGCTCGTGGAACAGACCTTAATTTTTTTTAAAATCTTAAAAACTTAAAAAATACATTCTAAATTAGAATTCTTCAATTTAAGAATATAAATAAATTAAATAATTAATTATAAATATTACACATTACATAATAACTAATACGGCGTTTACATTGGCCGAAAATGGCTCATTTTGAATGAGCCATTTGAAAGTGTTTACATTCGTTCTATTTCATTTGTTCTCATTTCAACAGCTGATTTTTCAACTTGCATGTTGATTTGATTTTTGACCTGTGCCAAAAAAATGTTGCATGAAGGTTAAATATGCCTTCAAACCTTACATTAGAAACTTAAAACATATTTTTAACTTCGATTAATTACTTTTTGGGAAGTAAAAGTTCTAAAAAGCAGTGCATCGTTTTCAAGAAAATACAACCACCAAACATTTGTTTACCTTTTTTTGTAAATATGTTAAAAACAGCTTTTACAAACTGTCAAAATGCCATGAAGAGCTTTCATTTAGGGTATGTTCAATGGATTCCTTTGCATTTGGAACGTATGTGGAATGCATTCGAACGTCATACAGAATGTGAGAAAATTGCTCATTTTTGTGCTTGAAATTTTATATGCAAGAATGAGCCATTCGATACTCATTTTCGATTTTTGACCAAAATGAGCCATTTTCGGCCAATGTAAACGCCGTATAAGTCACATGGAACCAATTTTATCTATCATTTATATTAGCTACCTAACACCTATATTCTCTATTATATCATATAACGCCTATAACTTAAGTGGTGTTCACACCTACGCTTCACACTCGCTTTTTAAGACTTAAGTGCGGTTCAGACTGATAAACAATTTTTTTATATATTGCGGGCGAACATATTCCAAAACTTACAAATTTTGGCTAGAAATGACATATATCTCCCTAACCTTGCTTCTACCAAACCAAATGGTATAGCCTAAGCAAGTTCTCTTGGTGCGATATGTGTTGCGCACATATACATAAACTATTAGCACTCTATCTAAGATGGACTAAAACAATTTTTTTATATAATGCGGGTGAACATATCCCAAAGCTGACCAATTTTGGCTAGAAATGTCATATATCTCTCCAATGACCCAAAATTAAAATTAGACGATCAAAATTCGATATTTTCTGTACCAGTAGAAATATTGATATAGGTTTTTTGTATATAGGTTTTATATTTTATGCAAAATTAACTTACTAGAACCATTCCATGATGGACTAAAAACTTGTATTGTACCACTAAGGTCCAAAAAGTGTCATAATATTCCTCTCACATTAACACCCACTTCCTACACAAAATATTCATAGAAAACTGTTTATTATTTTGACACTGATATATTTCTTTCGGACAAAACGAATCAAATTTATTTGGATATGTAGTACTGGAAAGCAAAAATAGAAAAGACAATGCAGAATTTGCTTTAATAATATGTCGAAAAGGTTTCTGCAGCGATAACCAGTTGCATATTTAAACATATTTATGGCCATGATTCCTTTATTCAAATTTTTCTAGGTCCTTCGCTTTAATAAATGCACTATTAATATAAGAAAATATATATATATATATACGTATATATATATATATATGAGAAAAACATAACGAAAGAAATGTAGCTTCAATTGATATTAAAATTAAACTTTAAAATTTTGATTTTATTTCGCCCCTAGAAGTATGCAAATTTAAAAAAAAACAAACATCAAAAATATATATTGTGAACATTCAATCATCTGTTTCTACAAATATTTTGGTGCACAACTTTACATAATAATTCACTATGCTACATTAACAAAATAATTATCTACTTTACGATGTACTTGCAACTGTCTTATTAGGTTAATATATTATTTTCCTTTATTTTAAAGTAAATATTTTTTTTGATTTTATAAAAAACTCACTTTTGGCGGTTTTTGCTGCAGAATCTAACTTCGTGGTTTTTGGCACTACATTAAGTACTACCACATTTTCAACGAAATCAGCTGTTTTTTACGTAAACAAACATTATTAATCTTGCGGTGATAATTACATTTTCAAACATATAAAATAAACAATTTTTAGAAATTATTTTGATAAATAATATTATTAATACATATTTACTACAATATGATTTACACTCAAAGCAAACTGCGAGTAAAATAAAAAGAACAATTCACAAAAATATTGTACAGGGTTGGCAATAAAACATTTTTGAAGCATATATGTTATTTGTAAGGTATATAGAAATATTAATTGTCATTTATTTATTTTCTTAGACGGCATCCAAGAATCACCGTGTACCATTTTAGAATGATTCAGATTAGAAGCTGAAACCCCAATCCAGTAATCAAGTGGAAGGTCCCACATTCATAAATATAATTAAAATTAGATTAAAATATGCGAAATGTAATCATTCGTCTTTTATAAATAGACTATCATAACTATGGTACTTTGTATAGTGCGAGAGAAACAATTTTTATAAATTTGACTTATTAATTATTTCAATATTTTATCTACATTAAATTTAACTTCCGTACAATTCTAAAATTAAAGAATATTTACGAGTTCTCTCCACCATTTCATACCCAGGTAAAAATTAAAGTAGTAGTAGGTAAGCAATGGAATACCATACCTTTGTTATATTTTTTTTCTTAGCGCGAGATGTCGAATGTTTGGTTTTTTGTTCAGTGTTACCACATATTCATAACATGTAGAACTAATTTGATATGTGATAATTAAAAACATACATTAACTTTTTATATGAATTATATTTGTAATTGTCATATTTTATCATAAAAAACAACAATAAATTAAAGTGTCACTAAAAATTATAATATTATGACAACTGTGCATACATGACATTTGTCAACACTTCAAATGTTGCTATTTCGGCCGTGTGCGAGTTCGAGTAAATTAAGGGAAATAGTAAATTATGTCGATATGGCAACAATGTTAGTATTTACCAGAATTTCGAGTAGGGTAAATTAAATAAAAATTATATAAATTAGATGTTACCATTGCGAAAATTTTATAAGATGTTTAATAAATGAATAAATAAATTTGAAAACTTTTATCCAAAAATAATAAGTAAATGCAATAAATAAATACATAAATATTTACATAAGTGTAGTGCAAAAAATCTCTAGGAAATTCCAATTTACTTTACCTCAATTTACTCGAACTCGTACACGGTCACTAAGGTCGTGTGCGAGTTAGGCTAAGTTGCGTTCTAAATGAGGGAAATTCTAAGTTGTGTCGATAATGTCTTGATGTGTCGATACGTGTTGATAAATGGCAAAATGTGTGCAGTGCAAAAAATCCCAAAAAATCTCCCATTTGGTTTAGCATCAACTTAGCCTTATACGGCGTTTACATTGGCCGAAAATGGCTCATTTTGAATGAGCCATTTGAAAGTGTTTACATTCATTCTATTTCATTTGTTCTCATTTCAACAGCTGATTTTTCAACTTGCATGTTAATTTGATTTTTGACCTGTGCCAAAAAAATGTTGCATGAAGGTTAAATATGCCTTCAAACCTTACATTAGAAACTTAAAACTATTTATACTTGATTAATTACTTTTTGGAAGTAAAAGTAAAAAGCAGTGCATCGTAATCAAGAAAACCAACAAAACATTTGTACCTTTTTGTAAAATGTTAAAACAGCTTTTCCAAACTGTAAAATGCCTGAAGCTTCATTTAGGGTATGTTCAAGGTTCTTGCATTTGAACGTATGTGAATGCATTCGAACGTAATCATAAGAATGTGAGAAAATTGCTCATTTTTGTGCTTGAAATTTTATATGCAAGAATGAGCCATTCGATACTCATTTTCGATTTTTGACCAAAATGAGCCATTTTCGGCCAATGTAAACGCCGTATAACTCGCACACGACCTAAAAAGTTTAACAAACAAATCTCATGTGTAATACAGAAAATTTAATATTTGAGAATTTAATTTATTTGATAATAGGTGGCAATGCTTTTACAAATCTCCATCTTGTTAGATACCGAAAAATTTTTCATTGATACAATATTGTTCGAGGAGTGAATTTATATATATTATTAAAATGCAGAAGTTTAAACGTGAAAGCACAAGTGAAGAAAATATTCCTCGTGGAGAAGATGTAATTTATATAATCAAAATAATAATGATAAAGTATTTTATTAATGTATGTGTTACATAAATGCTTTTTAGGATATTTGCGAGTTGGAGCACTTACGCAAATTATTCATAGGCGGCTTGGCACCTTATACCAATGAAGATTCCTTGAGGAATTTTTATGGTCAATGGGGCAAAGTAGTTGATGTTGTCGTTATGCGAGATCCAACGTCGAAACGTTCACGAGGATTTGGGTTTATAACATACACTAAGTCGGCGAGCGTCGACCAAGCCCAAGACAATCGACCACACATTATTGATGGAAAGTAAGTCATTCAAAAATAAAATAATTCTATGAATTTATAAATTATATTAATTTTCTTAGAACTGTTGAAGCTAAACGAGCACTGCCACGTCCAGAACGCGAAAATCGTGAAACTAATGTTTCTGTTAAGAAGCTATTCGTAGGTGGATTAAAAGACAACCATGATGAAGAATGCCTACAAGAATATTTTTCACAATTTGGTAATGTCATTTCAATTAAAATTTTAACTGATAAGACGACAGGAAAACGTCGTGGTTTTGCTTTTATTGAATTCGATGATTACGATGCCGTTGACAAAGCTGTTTGTAAGTACATAAAACTAAAAAATGCTTTTTTTTGTATTATATAAATCATTTATTGTATGCAATAGATTTTACAGATTTTTTAAATAGTAGTAATACTTGTTTGTAAATTCAAACAATCATTGGCTTCACCTACCTGTTTTTCACACTTCATAAGTATACACACACACGCAGTTACAATTAAAACATTACCGATATACGCACACAAATAAAGTGCGACACTGCAGTATGTATCAATCAAAAGTTATACCGCAATATGCTTCTGTTTTTAAGTACACCCAAACAAGCAAAGTGCAGGTATACGAATACACTTAGTGTATGATACCGTATTTGTTTGTGTACACATGCTTTGATAATTATTACAAAAGGTATGATATTGTACCGTATAGCAAAGTTGTGTACAAACATTAATACAAATAATACTGTTTGTTTGTATATCATAGATGGAAAAATTACAAGATTCTTCTGCCAATTACCACTAAAAATTATACTGTTCTTTAACTACCGTTTAATAATAATGTCACTTCTTGATCTATCTAAATTATTAAAATGTCCTAATATAATATTTATTTCTATAACACTATTAAATCTAGTGCCGATTTAGTAAATATATGATTTTCTGATCTCCGACATTTTTGACACAATGTGTAAAAAGTATATAAAATTTAAAGTTTCATTAAAAAAAACACAGTCTATATATTCTCGTAAATACACCTTTTTAAAAATAGACATTTATAGTGAGGACATCTATGGTAATGCAATAGCTTTGTTTATATGTATTTTGCTCCTCAGTGCTACATTCTACCGCTCTACCAACTGAGCGACCGAAATGAAGGCTATACTTCACAGTATCATTTCTGTAGTCAGTCTTATTTTACTTTATGTATATATGATTCCATATAAATGAAGAAACTTGTTCATCTTATCTTACGAATATCAATTTTTAAAAGTTCTGATTATTTAAAATTTGAACTTATAAATATATACAGATTATTTCCCTTGACTTTTTTTTTCAAATTTGATGCAAGGTTTATAGACAATCATTATGAGTATTAGTATATATACCAAGTAGATGTATAAATAATAAGTGCTAAGCTACCGTTGCTATTGGTTTGATAAATATTAATCGATTTATACAAGTCATTTTGATTATAAGTTTCGTGTTTTGTTTAAAAGTTTATAATTAAACAATAACATAATACCCTATATTAGAAAAGTAGTAGGCTTCTTGATTCTGTATACTACTACATTTTTTTTTAAATGCATATTTAATCATATTATGTTTTTTAATTATGTATTAGAATAAAGTTATTATGATTGTAAACTTATAATAAATCATCAAACTACATATTTCTTTTATTTATTTTAGTACAAAAAACTCATTCCATCAAATATGTTGTTGTTGATGTTAAAAAATCTGTATACAATCTTGAGCAACAAAATCGTCAAAAGAACGCTGCAAATGCTGCAGCACAAGGTGGTAAGATTAATAACATGCCAGATCAAGTACCTGGCTATGGACCACCACCTCCATCAGCGATGCCACCTTATCCACAGCCACCAGCACCACAAAACTACAATAATAATTACTGGGGCCCACCACCACCAAATATGCCACCACAACAATACGGTGGTTATCAACCACAACCTGGACCTCCAATGAATAATTGGAATTATCCTCAACCATGGAATGCTGGTCCACCACAACCAGGTCCACCCCAACCTGGACCACCACAAGGTGGTCCACCACCAAATTGGCAACAAATGCAATGGGGTACACCACCAGCACCTGGACCTGGCCCTGTTCCACCAGCAGTTCCTCCAAATGCTGTACCACCACCAGCACAAAATTGGAATCAACAAGCTGCACCACCAAATGCTCCGGTACAACCACCACCAGCAAATAATGTACCTCAACAACCACAGCAGGTGCCACCACCAAATAATTTTGGTAGTGGATATCAACAAAATTATGGCGGCGGCCCTACTAAAGGCAATATGAATGCAAACCGTATGAATCCGTATGGTGGCGGATCATCTAACAATAACTATAATGGTAACATAAAACATATAATAAAATTCGTACTATAATAAAAAATGGTTATTTGTTTATAGGTAATAATGGTCAACCACCATCTAATAGTGGTTATGGTAATTACTCAGCATCCGGAAATAAATCTAATACATCCATAAATCAAGGTCAAGGCAATAAATCTATGCCTAATGGAAATGGCCAACAGGCATCAACAACAAATAAATTTAGACGTTAAAATTTATTTATTAATTTAAGGTAAGTTTCCGAAAATCTTATAATTCAAAAGCTTTAAATTGTTTATGTCTTATTTATATATAATGATTTTATAAATACTTCTTAAATTCTAGCAGCAATA